TGCCAGGTCATTCCCAATATGCATCACAGAGAGTAGGTACTCATAAATATTTACTGAAAACCTCTGAGGATGAAGTGCACACAAAGGGAGATCTCACGACATGTTGCCCGTCACCAACTCTGTCCTCCTTGGGCTCTTCTCTCTGGGCATTATCCTCCTCCATCAGGATCTTCTGCTGAATCTCAAAGGAGAAACTGGGATCGATGCCAGCCTGTACTCAGCAAGAAAAGAGAGATACCATGAGTGGGAAGCTGGAAGCTGAGGTGACCTCTGAAAGCTGAAGGTCAGCAGAGCTAACATCTGGGAAACACAAACTGCTGTCGAAATTGAAAAACAGATATCCTGGGTCATCCTATATTCCCACTGCTGACTATCCTTTAGGATGACAAAACTTTCACACTATCAACACTAACCACCACCAACCACCACCGACAAAAGCACACTTTTGGATAAAATAATGAGAGATTTTTTAAAAAAATGGATACTGGCAAACAATCAATGGGCAAATATTTAGGCAAAGAGAAGAATCAGTTTTTCACATAGTTTCTGCTTGGGGTTTACTGTTGCTTATTTTCTATTTTTTATCCCATGCTTATTATTTACCGGCACGTTAGGTACTTTGTCTTTATTATATCATTTAAGTTTTACAAAATCTCATATTATAGAAAAGGAAGCCAATGTCCTTGTTCTTAGGAGCTCCCCACGGAGCTCCTGACTTTAAGTCAGACCTCTCACGGCTCTCATATGTCCAGTTTTCTCTGCAGACTCAGGGCTGCCTCAGGAGATGATGTGGTCCCACCATCATGTTAGGGTTCCCATTTGTTTGGTACTTACTATGCCAAATATTTCTCATTTGATTTTCACGATGACTCAGCTATGGCGTGAGGAGGGGAATTCAATTTTGGACATGTTGGGTTGGAGGATATCTGTAGATCATCCAAGTGAAGTGCAGGGTAGAGATCATGGCCATGGCTGGAGATGTATATTTGGAGGATGCAGATATTTTTTTTAAATATTTTATTAAAATATTAAAGTTCCTGGAAGAAGATGGAGGGGACGAGGTCATCTTACAGTTGGAAGGCTGGCCTTGACTAGGATATATATTCCTTATTTCAAGAGGATGAATAAAGGAAAGGAGAGGGGGATAGATACCTACATAGGTCAAGAGCTGTGTGATGGAAGGAGTTAAGAGTACAGGATATTTACATACTGAGGGCTTTATTCTTGTCAGTGAAGTACAAAGCCAACTTTTCCATTGAAAGTCTACCAACTGGAAAATTTTTGTAGGAGCTAAATGCTGAAATATAGACTTCCATAAGTTACATTAAAAAGAAGCTTGATTCATTTTGTTGTAAAGCAGAAACTAACACACCATTGTAAAGCAATTATACTCCAATAAAGATGTTAAAAAATTAAAAAGAAGCTTGAAAAACTTTTGTGCTACAAATAATACCAAGAAAGAAAAAACACAACCCACAGAATGGGAGAAAATATTTACAAATCATATATCTGATAAGGGACTTGTATCTAGAATATTAAAAGAAACTTAAAATTCAAAATGCTCATAGGATCTGAATAGATATCTCTCCAATGAAGATATACACATGACCAATAAGCACATGAAAAGAAGCTGAACATTATTCATTAGGGAAAAGCACTCCAATACCACAATTTGATACCACTTCACACCCACTACACTGGCTATAATGTAAAAGACAGATAATGTCACATGTTGGAAAGGATAACATGTTTTGGGGATGTAAAATGCCACTTGGGAAAACAGTCTCTCAGTTCTTCAAAAGATTAAACACAGAGCTACAATAAGACCCAGCAATTCCACTCATAGGTATATACCCAAAAGAAATGAAAACATGTTCACACATAACTTGAATACAAATGTTCATATCATCACTATTCATAATAGCCAAAAAGTAGAAATAACTCAGATGTCCTTCAACTGGTGAATGGATAAATAAAATGTGTAAAATAAAATGTGTAAAATAAAATGGTATATCTGTATAATGGAATATTATTTGGCCATATAAAGGAATGGAGTACTGACACATGGTCTGACATAGATGAACCTTGAAAACACTATGCTAAGTGAAAGAAGCCAGTCACAAAGGATCACATACTGTATGATTCCATTTATAGGAAACGTCCAGAACAGGCAAGTCTATAGAGACAGAAAATAGATTGGTGGTTGCCTAGAGCTCATTGTGGGGAGTAGTGGAGGAGGGGTAGGGAGTAACTGCTAATGGGCAGGGGATTTCTTCTGGGGGTTGATGAAAATGTTCTAATATACACTGTGGACAACTTTATGAATGTATTTAAAAAATACAGAATTCTACAATTTAAATGAATGAATTGTATGGTTATGGGAATCATATCTCAGTAAGCTGTTTAAAAAAAAAAAAAAAAGAGAAACGTGAGGAAAGGACTATTGACAAAGGCAAGACTGAGGAACACTACTGAAGACCAGATAATAATAACAGCCATTATCTTTGAGGACTCGCACTAGGCTAAGTGATTTCCCTGCATTATTTCCTTCACCATGAACCCATATATATTAGGTCCTTTTCCCTCATTTTACAGACAATACAATTAAAGCTCAGAAAACATAAGGAACTAGTTCAAGGTCAACAGCAAGAAAGAGACAAAATGTAGCCCCCGGTCTGGGTCAGTCTGGAGCCTGTTTCTTAGTACCTGCACTATGCTGTCTCCCACAGGTTTTGCTTTTCTATTTAGCTTCAACTTTCTAGGTTCAACACAAATGCCAGTGTCTTTAGGCCAACCTCTTTCTCCCCAGCACGCCCACAATTCTCTGTCTACCAGTCTTAGAGTGGTAGACAGCCTTTTCATCTCTGAGTTAATAAAGAGATGTAGAATAACTGCATCAATAAATTAGCACTCTCCTTATCCTCTCCACACTCAGGAGTCCTAGAAGCATGACCATAGCCCCATACAGAAAGATTTCCCCAGGCTCAGAACACTGACTAAGAGATTAAGTAGTCAGGAGCTCAACTCAGAGATAATGCATCTTTCCCTTCTCCTCTTCTTGGAGAGGGTAAGAAGAAAAGAAGAAAAGCTAATCTCAACTCTTATATAGAGAGACGACACCCACCCCTACCCCTAAGCTGGTTCTCTCAGGTTTTGAGATCTTGATGCTACCTGCCAGCTTTCCTCACCTATTAACAACAAATAGACCTAAATTAGCCCCTGGCATGTAGTAGGGATTCAAGAAATTTTATCTTCCTTTTCCATTCATTTCACAGTCCCCCACCCTGTCCCCCACAGGGCACTTACTGTTTACGTGGAACCTCTAGTCTGGAATGGGCTGACTATAAAAGAAGGGACAAAATACAAAGCTGGCTCACTAAGCCGGTCTGGGCTCGGTGATCATAGCAGAATCCTGGGGACCATTTAAGCTGAGGCACTAAGGTTCTCCTGAGGAAACTATGCTATCTGTTTACATATATCCTAACACTACGTTTATTTTCATAATATGAGAAGCAGCAGAAGAAAAATAATTCTTTATAGTAAAATATCCCAATGTTTATGTGGGCTTACATTGTGCCAGACATTGTACTGGTATTTTTTTTAATTGAGGTAACATTGGTTTATAACATTATATCAGTTTCATGTACAGCACTATAGTCTGACTTCTGTATATGCCACAGTGTGCTCACCACTAAAGGTCTAGTTTCCATCATCACCATACAGTTGACCCCCTTCATCCGTTGTGCCCTTCTCCTCTGGTGACCACTACTCTGTTCTCTGTATCTATGTATGTTTGTACTGGAGTCTTTATAGACATCGTTTTGTCCTCACACAACCCATGGTTCTCTTATTGGACAGATGAGGAAATAGAAGGTAGAAGAGCAGGAATAATTTCTCCAAGGTCACTCAGTCAGTAAGGGGAGGGGGGCAGAAACCTCCCAAAGGTCTGTGTGACTCTAATGCCAAGTCTCTCCATCTCTCCCTGACACCTCCTCCCACATCATTTCTGTTACCACCAAGCACCATTTCATGGAGGCTGTTCTGCTAAAAACAGTACAGAGGAACACAATTCTAACATGAAAATATGTTTACAAGCAATCATCCTATATCAATGCAAAAATACTAGATTAAACATTTAAAAACAGGACACAATACCACATTAAGATAATGTACCATGAGCAAGTGGGATTCATTTCTGGAATGCAAGGATGATTCAGTATTAGGAAATCTATTAATATGAGCATGACATTAGTAGATGTAAGAGTAATAATCACATGACTATTCCCTAGATGTAGAAAAAAGCTCTTGAAAGATGCTTCCTGATTAAAAAAAAAAATTGCTCAAGAAAATAGGAAATGATGCATATTTCTTAAAGCCAAAATTGTGTTTAATGGGGTAATATTAAGGGAATTTCTAATAAGATTAGGAAAAAGTCAGGAATGTCCACTATCTCTGTTACTATTGAACACTGTCCTGGAGTTATTAACCAGCAGAATTTAAAAAGAGAAAACAATAAGGGGTACAGGAATTTAGTTAAAAGAAGTAAAATTATTTTCAGGTGATTTGGTAGTTTACCTAGAGAACCTGAGAAAATCAGTGATAAACTAACACAAACGATAAAATGAATGTAGTCTTTCTAAATGCTAAAGATAATGTTAATTTTAAGAAAATTTCAAACAATTTCAGAAATAATTTCAGAATAATTTCAGAAAAGCTGCAAGAATAACACAAAAACATTCTTTCTGAAACCATTTGGGGGTAGGTTTGGAATGTGGTGCCCATCGCTCCTGAATAGTTTAGGACATTCTCCAGATAACCACAACATAAGGATTAAAATAAGGAAATTATCACTGATGAACACTGAATTCACAAACTCCATTCAAGTTTAATCAATTGTCCTAATAATATTCTTTATAGGCTCTAACATAGGACCATGCGTTGCATTTAATGGTCATGTCTCTTTATCTTTTTCCAGTCTGGAAGAGTGCAGCATGGGTGGCCTCTCAGAGGCTAATTTATCCTTACTCCCGTCCCCTCTGCACCAAGGGTGCTGGAAAAGGCAGAGAGTGACTGCAACCAAATGCTATCTTGTCAGACATATAGAATGATTAACTGCCTGAGTGGGTAAAGAGATGCCTGGAAGGTATGTTGTGCTTTTATCTTCTTTTATTTTTTACCATAAAAGTTTTAAAGCAGACTGTAAAAGTAGAAGTATATATAACCATTCACTCTTTGCTAAATTCTTCTGAGTTAGGATGTTCACAAGAAAAAACTGTCTTGTTTCCAAATGGTCTCAGACACTCTCTCTTAAATTAGATTTAACGGTATATCTCTTAGATCAGCATATTCTCAGGTCTCTTTTGATCTTCAAATAAATCTCAGTTAGGGAGCTTTTTCCTAGATTAAATTTTAAACAGGCACACAGAGAGCACAAATATCCCCATTGTGTTAGATATGAGTCCTAAGTAGGTTTAAAAAGTCTAATCTGACTGCCTGAAAGTTCTGTTAGGAATTCTTAGAAATCTGTCAGATTACCACTAATTCCATGGGGCGGTAATTTGAATTTCTTTTTTTTTGTTAGATTACTTCTCTTTGTTTTTATTTTATTTTACATATTTTTAAATAAATTTATTTATTTAATTTATTTATTTTTGGCTGCATTGGGTCTTCATTGCTGTACACGGGCTAGTTGTGGCAAGCAGGGGCTACTCTTCGTTGCAGTGCACGGGCTTCTCATTGCAGTGGCTTCTCTTGTTGCGGAGCACGGGCTCTAGGCACATGGGCTTCAGTAGTTGTGGCTCTCGGGTTCTAGAGTGCAGGCTCAGTAGTTGTGGTGCACGGGCTTAGCTGCTCCGCGGCATGTGGGATCTACCCGGATCAGGGCTCGAACCCGTGTCCCCTCCATCGGCAGGCGGATTCTTAACCACTGCGCCACCAGGGAAGTTCCTTGAATTTCTTTATACGTAGAGCCTACAACTACTTTTGCCTAATTATATTTTATGATAATCAAATCATTAGCTTTCATCCATATTGACAGTCGACTGTCTGAAGGTGTTTGAAAGCATAACAGGTATGAAGGTAAAAGTTATGCTATGCTTGTTTGATGAATCTTTGTCCTCATTATGTTTCCTGGATAACTTACTTAGATATATTATTGGATAGTCCTTATTCCTTCAGTTCAGATAGCTTTCTTTTCCGGACGCGCAGGCTCAGCGGCCATGGCTCACGGGCCCAGCCGCTCTGCGGCATGTGGGATCTTCCCGGACAGGGGCAGGAACCCGCGTCCCCTGCATCGGCAGGCGGACTCTCAACCACTGCGCCACCAGGGAAGCCCTAGATAGCTTTCTTGAGCTAGTGTAAATAATGACATTGAGAGTTCCCAAGAAGGTTTTTTTGTTTGGTTTGATTTGTTTTTTATAAACGGCAGATTCTAGATTTCCTTGAGTGCCTGGGGTCCATGCTTCATTAAGTCGACTCAATGGAAGTGTTTATGGATGTTGATATTCTATTTTCTAGTCATCTCCTTGGTGGCAGAATTACCCCCCCCCCTTTTTTTGCTACCCCTCTTTGTGGGAGCCATTTTTCACAGAATAGGTTGGAAAGAGAGAAGGGGGTTGTGGGAGAGGTCAGTTACTCTTCGGGGCTGCCTGGAGGCAAGGCGACACCTGGGAGTTTTTTTTAAAAATACAGATTCCTTAACCCTACACCAGAATTTCTAATCAGAATCTATGGAGGTGGATCCACTAATATGTATTTTTAAGAAGTTTCCCAAGAGATTTTTCCTTGACTAACATTGAGAAGTTGTGTTCTACACATTGGTTTAGCAGAATGATCCCTATAAAAACCTACGAGTTGGGGAAATGATGCTCTATATCTCCTTCTTAGCCAGCCATAACTCGTATTGGCATATACATTTAAGAAAAGTCTATTTAATCTTAACTCAGCATTTCTCCAATTTCTTTGAGTATAGAACATACTTTTTTTTTCTTGATGCAACATATATTACTATAGCACACCCCAAAGCACAGGCTTTGTGAAATATTGGTCTAGAGAATATGACTCACCCTGTCACTCGCTCTTAACTATTAACAGTCAGCAACTCTTTGATGCTTGGCAACTCAGTGATGAATGTAACCACAGCTATTCATTAGGACTATTACACAAGGTTTCATAAAGCCTTCATGCCAGTGTTATTCTCTGGCTCTTCCTCTGCTTAATCCTGAACTTTAGATGAAAAAAAACCCAAAAAACTGAGAAGAGTTATGGTAATTAACATACATTGATTGCTGTGTGCCAGGCTCTGTTCTAAGCTCTTTGCAGGCATTATACCAGGTAATCCACAGTCCTGTGAGTAGTTTGTATTATTATAACAATGTTTCAATAAGATACTGGGGAGGGGCTTCGCTGGTGGCATAGTGGTTAAGAATCCGCCTGCCAATGCAGGGAACATGGGTTCGATCCCTGGTCCAGGAAGATCTCACATGCCGTGGAGCAACTAAGCCCGTGTGCCACAACTACTGAGCCTGAGCCTGTGCTCTAGAGCCCGCGAGCCACAACTACTGAGCCCACGAGCTACAACTACTGAAGCCCATGCACCTAGAGCCCGTGCTCCGCAACAAGAGAAGCCACCACAATGAGAAGCCCGCGCACTGCAACAAAGAGTAGCCCCCGCTTGCCGCAACTAGAGAAAGCCTGCATGCAGCAACGAAGACCCAACACAGCCAAAAATAAAATTAATTAATTTTAAAAAAAGATCCTGAGGAACAGAGAGATTAAGTAGCCAAACCTAAGAAAATACACAGTTAGAAAGTGGTGAAGCAGATATTACAGACATTAAATCCGACTCAGATTTAAAGCCTATCACATTAACCACTCATTATTTTGCTTGAGCTTTACTCATCCATCTTCCTCTACATGCTCCTCCCTGAGAGTCTCATTCAGCCAAAGTTTGACCTTGGCCATGGCTTCCTAAGCATGGCTTCCTTGCTCTCTCTTTTGAACCACAGACCCACCTTCTTAACTGCTTGTTAGATATCTCAGGGAGGAGCTACAGCTGGAACCTTAAGCTCAACATATTTCTAATAGAATCTCATCTTTCGTCTCCAAACTTACCTCTTCTTTTGTGTCCCCTCTTTCCAGTCATTCATGTATGTCTTCATGTGACACATGTGAGCCCCTACTATGTGTTTGTACTGTACTCTGTTGAGGATACACAGAAAAGTGAATAAGACTCGGGTTTTTACTCCTAGTGTCTACTGCTCCATAATGTCAGTGAATGTATGCTCTATCATGTCCTCCTCCTCTTTCTCTGTTATGTCCTTCCAGATGAATCTCCAGCAGCTATTTTAGTCTCTAAATGATTTGTAAATTATATTCACTTGAAAGGGAATTTGATTATCCTGGATTATTTTCCTACAACAGGTCACTGGCACATCCATAGGTCCTGTGGCAGATGGTATTCTAACGAGGGCAGCAGCATCCCACATGCTCTTCTTACAAGGTGATGTCAATAGTCCTTCAGCATGAGTTGGGGTCTACATTTCCTCCCCTTGGATCTGTGTGGGCCTATAGCTGCAGTGGAAGTAATACTAAGTGATACTTTCCAAGGCTGAGTCCTAACAGGCAAAACAGCTTTATCCTGGCCCTTTAGGGATGCTTGTGCTTGGAACCCAGGCCCCAAGCCGGAAAGACTACATAGAAGGTGTTTCAGGTGACAGTCTCCACCGAGGACCCAGCTGACAGCTGGCACCTATTTCTAGACTAGGGGGTAAGCAAACTTTCAGATGATTCCCATTCCTGGCCTTCAATACACTCTAGCTGATGCCGAGTGTAGCAGAGACAAGATGTCCCCTCTGAGACTTACCTAAATTGCAGATTTGTGAACACCATAAATATTGTCATTGTTTTAAGCCACTGCATTTTGGGGTAGCTTGTTAAGTAGCAATAGATCACCAGAACAGGTGCCTACCTTTGTTTCAGTCAGCTATTGCCAGGGACCAGGTCCCCTGGCAGGAAGCTCACTGCCTGGAGGGAGTTGTTGCCAGAGAGGCAGGCATCATGATTAAATGTCAGTTATGTTCCATGTTTTTTAAATGTTTAATGCTCTCTAGCACATAACAAAGTGTTTTACATGGAGTATATGTCAAATAAATATTTACTGAATTGAATTCAAATATAGTGTGATAGTAAGAACATGCATTTTGCTGTCAGATATACTAAATTTCAAACCACAACTCTAGATGCTACAGCTCTGGGGTAGGGAGTAAATTGCCTTCCCAATCCATCAGTTTCCCTTCTTCTGAAACTGATATGACCATCAAAATACTTAAGGCATGTAAAGTGCCTAAGAGTTTGTGGTTCATGGTAGATCTCTCTCCCAATCCGTCCCTCACTCTCAAATCTTTAAAAGGAGACACAAGGATAAAATGAGAAAAATTGAAAATGATTATGAAGGATACTGAATGCATGGTTAAGGTCTATTTTTTAGGCAATGGGGATTATAGAGATGTGATATACATAAGATAATTTTTGAGAAGATTAATATGGCTCTAATGTGTAGAATGAGAAACCAGATAGAGAAAAATCACTTAGGAAGCTAAAGTCAGTGTCTAAGCATGTTAGGGTCTAAACAGTATCTTAAAAATGTAGTCAGGGTGATATCAGGTCTGGATTAAATGGCAGGATGATATTACAAAGGAAGTTTCCATAGACTTTGAGTTGGAGTCTACAAAGGAGAAGCATAAAAGACAAGAGAATCCAAAACTGACAACAATATTGTGACAGTATCTATTAAAAATTATTCACATGGGATACCCTAAGATCCAGCAATGTCATGCCTAAAAATCTATCTTATAAAGAAGTGATAGCAAAAGTACTTAAATTATATGTGCCAAGGTATTTACTGCAGCCTTGTTTGTGATAGCACAACGTTAAAAAACCAAAATCACCATCAGTCACGTAATGGTTAAGTAAACTATGGTATATCTATGCAATGGAATCGTGTGAGTAAATCTAAATAAACTGACCTGAATACATTTCAAGTGAAAAGAGAAAGTTATAAACCAATATGCATAATGTCATCTTTTGCTAAAAGCAGAAGAAATGCCTAAGTGTCAGAAAAGAAAGACTGAATTAAAGGCTATTTGGGAAGAACTTATGTGATTTTTTCAGAGTTGCTGATCATCTACGTTATTACATTTTAGGAATAAAACGCATGTCGTAAATAATAAATATGAAAACTGCAAAAAAAAAAGAAAAGAAACACTGAAATTCATGCTGTTTTCCTCTGGGGACTGGGAATGTAGGGGTATGGGGTGGCATGGTCTTAAAAATATTTGAATAATTTGTATAATTTTCTGTTTTGGTATTCTTCGGTTTTTTTCTTTAATAAAAACTTAAAAACGTTTTAAGTTTGCAAATTCCATACCAATACAAGCAAACAGTATCGTTAACAGAAACAGTTGAAGATTCGGGGAAAGATGATGATTCCACATAGGTTAATGTGTAGTTGGTAGAAAGAGCTGAATTGTGATGGGAGTTGTAGTAGCTGTTGGCAGTGGTTGAAGGTGTACGTGAGCAAGACTTCTGGGTCCTTCTCTGGCAAGGATCAGACAAGAGATGTGGTCCACCTGGGCAGAGCTCACAGCTAAGACTGCAGTCAAAGGCAAGACTCCTGAGCCAACATCATGGAAAGCAGCACCACAGATCTTCTCTATTTCGGTCCATCCCAGAATTGGAGGGAATAACTCTCCCTGACACAGCCTGTTCATGCTATCTATGAGATGCCCTAATAATTAACTCTGGGCCTTCCAACCTAATATGAATGTTGGTAGGTAACGCAACATCTTACTGGTGAATTAGTCTTTATGAATTTATCTATCCCCAACTTGAACTTAATTATGTTTTTAACCTAGGGTACATCTATACCTACATACATGTCTATATTTGTATCTATATTTACATCATGTATATTATCTATATATCTGGCTAGTTGGATAGATATAGATAGATATCCCTATCTGATATTCTCATATCTCATATGAAATAATCAGCATTTATTCAAATTTATATTTGAACACTGCTAGGTGTTGGGTCATATTAAATACAGGATAAACATACTATAAAAATGGAGCATTACATCGGGCATTACAGTGGTATGTTATAGAGCCAGGGTTTTATTACAGGAGTACTGATTTCTTCTCCAGATGGATTTAAATTGACAGCTCTAAGAAAATTTTTGCCAAAGATCCCCTTCTAGCTTATCGACCCCAGAAATGTGCTTACCACTATTCCTGGGAATATCCCATTTTCCTTCACGGCTTCAAAATGCTTTGGGCAAAAAAAAAAAACCCAAAACAAACACTGTATATTTTATTAAGTGAATATTATCTGACCTTTTTTTTAGCCCAATCATGACTATTTTTTTAGTACATGAAATCCTCTTTTAAAATCTGTTTAATATACCTTCCATTGGGTCATTATTAAATAATACATTAAAATTTTTTAAATGCATATGCAAAATGATTTGGAGACGTCCCTACAAGATTTGTGATTCTACTGTCTACCGTTTCCTTTTATTTATCCTATCTGAACAGGCATAGAGATTAAAAAAAACATGTCATGATGACTTTCTTTTCTGTTTTTCTTTACAAAGCTAGAAAAAAGGCATAGAAGTATAATTAGTTGCCCAAGATCCTATAGCCCTTCATGGAGACAATGATAATCTTATACTCTGAGATGTGTTGCCTCTTTTTGCTATTTTCCTTATTCGTGATGTTTAGAAACAAAAGATTTATATGTACCCCCAAAGTTACATATATATATATATATATATATATATATATATTTATTTATTTATTTTTAATCACTGCTATGAATCCATATGCTATTTTATACATGCATCTCAAGTAAAGAATTTTTGATTGCTTTAACTATGTCATTCTCTTTTTTTCCAAGCAGAAATACCAGCCCTGGATTTCCTGCTTGTCCTCATGCCGTATATGCTGCCAAGCTACTCCAAAGTGAAAATGCCAATTTCCTTTACAAATTACTTTGTGCTCCTGCTATTAATCTAATAGAGATATGGAAGTGGGCGAAAGAAAAGAAGCTGCTCTTCTGGCAATAAGGAACAATCCTGAGATCAAATTACACATTTGTGTAATCGGAGGCCTACTCCAAAATTACACATTTCTTCATATGGTTTGGCTAAACAGTTGAAGTTGAGAGTAGACCCTGACTCTATCTCTTAGGAATTAGAATCATTTATAATCCCTGTTTCTTTTGACTAGTTCTGCCAGTTGGTGATAAGATGTAAGACAAAATGAGATAAAAACAAAACAGAATTTTTAAAAAACTATTGTGAGTTTAAGATATAGTAAAATAATGTGGGTAGTCTTCTAGAATCTAGTTAAATAAAAAAAAAACAAATAAAATTCTTAGAAATATAAGATATCAACATTTTTTTAAACAAAAGAACAATGGAAGATCCAGGAAGATAAGAGAGGACAGGAGTAAGTTTGATGCCTTCACACAGGGAGGTGAAATCATTCATCCCCTAGTCTGAGTTGTTTTCCAGTGGTGATGATGGATTTGAACAATCCGTCCAAACCTTTTCACCCAGTTCCTCTCTTTACCAATTGCAGGCCTCTGCGATGGGGCAATGTGGATGAGATGTGAGAAGATAAATGACTCCCCAGAGGTTTCTGTGAACTTTATTCCTAGTATCTTGGTTCTAATGCTGATGATAGAAGAGAAATGTCTTAAATTCTGGGTAAACAGTCACTTAACTACTCAGAACATTTGGAAATTAGAAAAAAAAAAAAGGAATATTTTTCTCTGTTCATTTTGATTTCATAAGTAACTGAGTTTCCTTTTCTCTGTCTAAGAGAAAAGATCCAGAAGATGCTGACTAGATTGTAAGCACCAGAAGATCACTATGATACACTCATCTTTATATTCTACTGTGTTTGGCACTTGTCAGGGTCTCAATAAATATTTGTTAAATTGAATTAATTGAATTGAATTAATTGAGTAAAAGAGGAGGTATAATCTTTTAGAAACAAAAACAATTTAAAAACCTTGATAAGAAGTTTAAGTACATCATTCAATCTGTGTTCATAGATCAACTGAAAAGGGGGAATTAGAGAGGGGAAGTCAAAAGATAATCTACTGACTGATATATAATTTGGGGGTATCCACTTTTCCTGTCACTTGTGGGAAATATCACCAGCGTCTAAATCAATCAGTGCACGTAAGGATAATGGGGATGGGAGCACAGCAACTTCCCTTAGCTCCTGTTTACAAGTCCAACTGACATCAGTTGCTGTAACCTTTGTGGTCTCTCTCCCTTATTTGACTCACTTTGTCCCAGAGAAGAAGCATGTCTCATTAGTGCCTTTAAGAAATAAACTGGCGCTGCGTAGTTGGGAGCGAGCTGACCTCAGGAAGTACACATTTTGGTCTGCTTCTTCTGCCCCTAAATTGTGCGGAGGCAAGTCCTCTAGTGGAAGCTGTGCTGTGGCTGGTGGATAAGTCTTTTAGGAAGCCCGCTGTTGTCATGCGCCTAAGCTATGCATTTCTTTATGATCTTTATCAGTAATGAGGATGACATTTTAATCTCCTTCTGCCAGACTTCCATGTCTATCTTTTCATTATTTTCAAACTTGATTGGGAAAAGAATGTTACTTTTTGGTCCCTTATAAGGTACTTATACTGGCTCCAGCAACTCTACAAATCTGTAGTTTGCATCTGGTTATCTGAGGTGTATTCATTTATTCATTCAGCCATTCATTTGGAAATAGTTATGGAGTCCCTAAAATATACCGAGTACATATATGGTAAGCCCTGGGACCCTACCCATAAGGAACTCACATTATAGAGTATTTATAAAGCAATCTGACAAATGGGTAAGCACGTAGCTTCCCAAGAAGTAACAGTCTAAGCTGAGTTACTCATTTTTTTGGTGTTTTCTTAACTGAGTCAAAACCCAGTAGGATTTGGTCAGGCGGTAGCTGATTTACCTGATCAAATCTGGTCTACCTGGTCAGAGCTAAGGGTGAAGGGGCAGTCAGGGGCTCAGTTCTGAAAGACCCTCCCTAAAAACCTAGACTCTGCCCAGTGGGTAACAGGCAACTGTGAAAGAGATTAGGGGAGTGATATGGTCAGGTTTCTGTCCATAAGGTCACTTTGATAGCTGGGAACATCTGTCTGAGGAGGACAAGCCTGGAGAGACCAATTTGCAGATTGTTCTGGGCGAGAGACTCTAAGAATGTGATTTAGCAGCACTTTTGCTTACTTTTGTTTTACCTTTCCTTTTTTTTTTTTTTTGGCAATCTTGACATTTTGTAGGATTAGCAGTAAGAGCTCTGATGATGATGATGATGAAGAAAAAGAAGATGATGATTGCTAATGTTAAGTTCTTGCTATGAACTGCCACTGGGCTAAAATGTTTCTGTGTATTAGCTCACTTTGTAGTCACTAAAAATGTATAAGGTAGATAGTATTCTTTTGCATTTTATGTATGAGAAAACTAAGGCTTCAGGGGTAAAATAACTTGCCCCAGGGTGTACAGCCAGCCAGCAGCAGACCTGGGACTATCTGACAGTTTCCAGCCTGTCTGACTTCAGCTTCCATTCTGATGACCCTGTGCTCTATGAAAAGTTTCATAGCTCTTTACCAAGCACTTTCTTATACAGCGTCTCACTAGAGCTCTAACAGGATCCTTAGGTCAACCTTCAATTCACTCCAAACAGAGTAGCTCATTCTCATTTAACAGAATCATGCTCAAGAAAATTGTTTGCGATATACTTTGAAATCACAAAATATATTGCTCTTTATTTGTACATTGATGACCGATTTAGTGCCTTTTTGACCAAATTTTAGCAGTCAAATGTCTTCACCTTACCATCTAACAGATATATACAGAATGAATTTTAATGTTAACTTTAAGTAAATAAGAAAATATTCTGTAAAATATTGTAGGTGAAGTGATTTCTGGTTTATCTCTTGCTATGGATTATTCATTCAACATTCAAAAAGTACTAAGTACTTAGCACGTGTTACGCACTACTCCTTTTAAGAGTATGGAGGAATATAATCAGTAACTCATTCAGATTTGCTCGCGCAGAGCACAGCTCAGTCCATTGTACAGAGGTCCTCAATATCTGCTTTCAGAATAAATAAATCCAGTGAAAGAAAGCAAAGGAAGTACACTGTCTGGGCCCAAGCATCAAATTAATTAAATTAATTAAATTAAATCATTGTACTACCTTACATATACTAGTTTTATTCCTTGGAAATCTTCGGATTAGTTTTTTTTCCCCATCCATGTTGATAAGGTAAAGGTGATGGTGTTGCTTTACATTCACTTCGCATTAGCTTAGATAAATAAGTTAGTTATCTATTTATGCAGGATTGTGAGTGCTTCATCATTTATGTTAGCATTACTTATCCCAAACCTCCCAGTTTTAAACAGAAACCTCAAAGGGCCATAATGAACAACTTGTCATTCTTGGTGAATGGACTTGTAATAGTTACAAGGGTGCTTCCAAACCACCCAGCAAGTTCTGGCTGGAATCAGGCCTACAATTAGAAACTGCAGATATGTAGCCTGCCTTACTCCCAGTGATAGGCTGTCTCTCCCAGAGGGTGAGGGTTCTGGTTCCTCTAATCTTCACTCCCTGCCCCCACTCCCACCTCCTCACCACATGACGTGACCCCACCTCCCTGCTCAGAACTGCCAAAAGACTGTGGATGGCAGAGTTCCTGCATTCCTCCCCTGGCACTGGAGCAAAATTACAGCATTACTGTTGGGCTTTAAGGAGTTCCTCTTTTTTCTACTTTTATCACGCTTTCTTGTGTTCTGACTCTAACAATTTGAGAGAAAATGTAGCGTCCAATTCTTGTTTTAGCTGCCAAGATTCCACAATGCTTAGGCAAAGGAAGGAAAAATGGCGCAGGCATTTAAATTTACCCAAATGCCTCAGAAGACTACACTTTCTGGACATGAATAAAGAGGATGTGAGTAAACTTATTCCTAATGTGCCAGGTTTATCCCTTTGAATAATTGGATAATTCCAGCAAATACCATGTTGAAAGTTTTACTTGCCTGGCTTAGTTTTGAGGCTTCATTTAAAAGACTATTTAATAAGACAATAAAGTATTAAGTTTTAATGTGGTATTAATATAGTAATACTAAACGTACTAAGGAGAGATGGCAAAGATAACCCAGATTTCATTCCAGGAAACTCTTTCCTAAATTAAACTTCTTAAAACTACCAAAGAGAAGCTAATTGCTTACATTTCAACCTTCCTTTCCTTTTCCAGCTCTCTTATAGACTAATGATTTAAATGAGTTAAAAATTGAGAACATTCAAGTGAAAAAAATCTTCATTTCAGGGGTTATTTACAAAGAAATGTGGTTTGTGTATCCCTCCCATGGAAAATGCTTATTTATCTAACTTTACTACAAGCATTTCCCACTATACCTGGCTTCATTAAGAGTTCTAGGACCTCCCTGGCGGAAGGTCCAGTGGTTAAGACTCCACATTTCCACTGCAGAGGGCACAGGTTAGATCCCTGGTTGGGGAATTAAGATCCTGCATGCTATGCGGTGCAGTCCCCCTTCCCCCCCAAAAAAAAGAAAAAGAAAAGAAAAACGTTCTAAAAGATGAGACTCTCTTGAAACTAACATCTTAATGTCTCCCTACAGATCTCTCCTTTGGATGGTGTAAGAATCTTCGTATACTATTAAAGTAGAAATGTATTGACAGAGTTAAGACTCTGGGTCCAACATATCAGAGAGAATCTCGGCCTTTTGTATGTTTGTGGAATTGTTCTACAGTGATCTGTGTTTGTGACAATTACCTAGATTATGGAAATCTGTGGGCTTAAGCAAGTCTTTTCCTTTTTGGTATTTCTATTCTCGCACCTATACATTATTGATACTGTTAAAGCTAAAAAGCCTTCTTCTCGGGGGTACACCATGGAATAGACATTCTTTGAACTCATACATTGAATGTTAAGTTCTTAGTGTGAGCAGATGAGTCTATCAAGATATGCTACAGAAAGGTGAAGTAACTAGAAATAGAAATATAAGGAACAAATTTTCCATGGTTCCAAGAACATCCAGGCAGAATAAATTTATGCATCAAGACTAAAAAAGTTACACTGATCTGTGGCTTTTCCCCCCATATTGTACGTACTCTAAAATGTCCACTAAAGTTTGAATCTTTTAGGATACTCTCAACTTCAAGTCTGTCTAAGTAGTTTAAACCATATAGAAAGTCATTGACTCGGATAAGTGGGCATCAGTTAATGGACTCAGATGCGTTTCATCTCAGCTCTGTTGAACACAGGCTTCACCCTAAGGACAGTTGTCCTCATAACTGCAAGACAGCTGCCAGCTGCAATCAGGGATACATGCTTTTTTCTTCCACTTCCAGTGTAAAGGAGACTTGTTTCCTGAAGCATCCCCTAAGGACAAGGAAGGTTTTTCCCTGGAAATCTCTAGCAGAAGCTCGTTGATCAGTCTAATTTGGATCACATGCTCATTTCAGAACCAATCACAAGAAAAAGTTATGTAATAACCCTTTGACCTATCAGCCCATTGAGGACATGGACTGTGTCGGGAAGGAGTGGATATCTAAACATTATTATAGTCTGTTGGAAAGGAAGAAAAGACAATGAGTGCTGTAGGCCACCGGTAATGTCCACTCCAGAGTTCCTGGGAGGAACATGGCCAGACAGTAAGGACTAAAACCGTTATGACCATTAGCCCACAGTAAGACTGCATGTTGAAGCTACCAAATGAGTCAGATAAAAGATCTATTTATAAGGAGAAGTATTGACCCTGATTCCCCAAGACCCCATGGTACAGCTAAGGATTTCTTTTTTCTTCATTTCTCAAGGAGTGGAGAGAGCATGTTACAAGTTGTCTGCAAAAAGGTAAGTAATCGAGCAATAATTCTGTGACTGACCACTCTGCTCTCAAATACCATTTGAGTCTGAGCTTTTTGCATCAGAGCTACATGTGATGAGCCTTCGATGGTTATAAGACTTGGAATTGTAAAGACAATGAGACAGTCAATAGCCTGCTTCTGGCATCTCAAATGGGATATTTGAGTCTACAACAAAGCAAGAGACTGAAAAGCCAGATTTTTTAGGGGGGAGAGAAAAGTAATTTCTAAATTTCTTTCTTTCTTTCTTTTGTTTTCTTCAACATACCAAGAGGTAAGGCCTGGTGGATTTCATTATAGTGTTTGAGAAAAGGGTGATCTGAGTCAGGTAGGAAAAGGAAGCTAGGAAAGAGGGACACTTTCGGTCCCACTGGATTGTCGGGAGAAGAGGGAGAGGCAAATGTCTGGAAAGCAGGCAGTCAGCTGACCTCCAGAGGCTGCAAGGTGATGGAGATGGGGGAGGGGTGGGGCAATGTCTGAGTGAGGAGAACCCACAGGATCCGTCCTGCTTCCTGTTTGGGATGCTGGCAGGTGGCTCTCTCACAGGACCCAGGAAATTCCAGCTCTATCCTGTGGTGGTGTATTAGTTTCCTGGAGCTGCTATAAGAAAGTACTACAAACCAGGGGGCTTAGAACAATAGGTATTTATTGTCTCACAGTTCTGGAGGCTAGAAGTCCAAAATCAAGGCATTGGCAGGGCCATGCTCCCTCTGCAACCTGCACAGGAGAAGCTTCATTGCTTATGGCTAGCTTCCGGCAGTTGTTGGCAACCCTTGGCATTTGTTCGTTGGCTTCCAGCTGCAGCATTTCAATCTCCACCTCTGTCATCACATGGCCTCCTCCCCTCACACATTTGTGTCTCTGTGTCTCTTCTTAGAAGGACACCAGTCATGTCGGATTAAGTGCCCAGCCTACTACTGCGTGACCTCATCTTAACTTAAGTAATCACATCTGCAACAATCCTATTTCCCAAAAAGATCACATTCTGAGATACTGAGGGTCAGGACTTCAAATATCTTTTTGGGTGGGACACAATTCAACCCTTAACAGGTGGTCACATGAAAGTAAAAGTGGGGCAGATTAGATAGAGACAGGCTTGGAATTTAGTTTTGTTCCCAAGTGGCATGGCTGGACTCAAAAACTCCCACTTGCCCTGGGAGGGGTGGGGAAAGTTTGCCAAAAATCACCAAGTAAGGGCAAAATGGCCATGGAGCTGGGGGCTATAGAACAAAACACCGGACCTGGGAACCTTTAGGGAAGAACAGTCAGACCTCAGGTGGGACATGCAGCATCACTGGTGACTAAGGAAGAATTGAGTCATCAGGAGAAAGTCCTGGGCCCAGATGAACTGAGAAAACCCACCATAAATTATGAAGTACATCAGCTGCGGCCTTCAGCAGCAGATGCCAAAAGAACTGCCCGTCCAGGGAGCAGCTGAGATCAGCCACTCCATAGAAGATCCAGGCAGCACAGCATAGCTCCTAGAACCATGCCTTTTTTAACTACCTTGAGCTACACGTCTACACTCAGATGTCATCTTGGCTATTAAAAGAGGAGGAAATGGGGCTCTGAAAGACTGAGCATTTTTGAGAGTAATCTAAGCTGAGAAGAAGTTACTTAAAGAGACAGATGAGACTACTGGGTTGACATAAATCTCCAACCCCTTTCCTACCTCACTCTGCCGGCTCACCACACACACGCACACGCACACGCACATGCACACGTACCCACTACACTATACCCACGCACACTGCTACCCAGAGGAAAGGAGGCTGGCGAGGAACATCAGGCCAGTCACAGAGAAATCAAGAAGACATTTTCTTTACACCCATTAATGGTAAGTGAACCCAGTACACATTCTCTATTACATAATGATGACTAAGCCATTCTACAGATCCAAAAATTCATGCATACTGATCGTGAGTTTACATTTGTCTCCAATAAGTTTACTGTGAATGTATCTGTCTGAGCAGATGTAAATAGACAGCTAGCCTTTGCTAGGTTTATGAAAGCCTGTCAGACTTTGGTCAGTGTGGAGCTAATCCTAGTGAAAGATCTTCCTGCAGTTCTAGATGTTATAGCGATTGGCTACTTTACAGAGGACCCTTGAGATCAGTGATTATCTGTCTTAAACTCTTTTTTATCTACAGACGCACAATTCCACAATTCAATCCATGATACATACCTTTTCTGCAAGCATTGTGATATGGCACTGCTGTATTTGAAATTTCTGAGTTGAGCTGATTCAGATGAACTAATATCTGGAAGTGTCTAAAAACATAAGAACCTATCAGGCATACCAGCCTGGGGTCAAATAAATGGGGTGCAAACTACAGAACACTTATTCCCACCTCACCCATGGGAACTGTTGGAATTGTAGCTCTTTAAATCAAGAATTCTGGCCCAGAAGAGATGAACAGGATCTTTCTCAACTCCCATCTTCCTCCTGGTCCCTGAGGCCACCTGGTCACAGGCTACTTTGGAAGTTACACCATTTGAGCACCCCAGCATCACCTGGTGAGCCCATATGCTATTAATACAACTACTGCTGCTCCTTCAACCATCTGACACAACTACTGTTTCTGAGATTCCTTCCAGGAAATTAAATTGCTTGCTCCCTTGATGCCCTTCCTATGCTCTCATACTATCCATTATATAAATCTGTTGTATTACTTAACCAGGTATATTTTAATTATGTGCATATTTGTTTGTTTTTCTCCAGGGCTAGACAGCAAGTCCCTCAAGACACAGGGACTGTGTCTGTCATTTCCTATTTGTAGTGCTTTTCCTGGTATGTAGTATGTGATCAATTAATGAAGGAAAGAATAAATGAAGAAGAGTTTGGGTGACTTTTTGTATTGGTTCCTGTCACTGATTTGGACCAAGGAAGAGAGATAAGAGTAAGAAAAGAGTTCAGGTCATCAACTTGACCCCTCAGGCTTCCTCTTCTGCAACTTGCCAATCTTTCCTAGAGCTCATAGGAAAAGGTTCTGTACCTTGACTTTGGTCTTTCTCATTGGATTTTCACTGCAGTTGAATACATTCCCATTCTTTAAGATGAACTGAGAAAATTCCAGAAACTTGAGGTGGGCTGGAAACTGCTCAAAGGGATTTTCAGCCCTAAGAATCGATGCTACTTTATATGTCTGCTGAAAGGTCCTGAGTTTCCTGACACTCCTGGAATTGAGAGAAGTCTGAGAGGCACTGTTTCTACATCTGCCTTTCACTTTTCCACAAAGAAAGCAGCTGCTTGAATCCTGGCAGAACAACTTGTTTTCACTGTACCTCAGGCAGGTCATTCAAATTTTCTGAATCGTAATCTTACCTTTAAACTGGGAGAAATGACATTTACTGCCTTGTATTTAGAACTAGAAATAATGTATACGTAATGTGTCTGGCAGTATTTGGCATATACAGTTGGGATTGAATCCATGCTATTATTATTATGTTTAATATTCCTACTTTGCATCTTATAAATCTCTTTCTCTTTTCTTCTTTGGTTAGTATGTATCGATTGAACGGATGGCATAGTCCCTGTGACTACTAATTTGAGTGTCTATAAAGCATGGTAAATTTTATCTGGATTCTTAAAATCCTTAGTGAATCCAGATTATTTATATAGATAGAAAAAAAGTTTCTCCACCCCTTTTATATATAAATATAAATATAAATATAAATAAATAAATAAATAAATAAATATATATATATATATATATATATATATATATATATATATATATGGGGGGAGATACTATTTTTCCCTCTCTAGTGCAAAGTATAACTTTACTGCTTAAGGTTCTGTCTTCAAAAAGTGGGGACTGGAAAGGTAATCAGTACAGTTATAAGTAACCTGGCCTGCTCTTATTTATGGGGCTTGACATATCACCTCAATTTGCCAAATATAGGATTTCCTGACAACTGAAATTCCAACTCTTCCTGTGGAAATGTGGTCATGCCTAGTAAAGCTGTTAGCCCGTGGAAGTTATATGTCTTTTCAGTACTGACATTTTTGCCTGCCAGCAGTAGAATGGAAATAAAATCTAGAGGTTTTGACCACTAGGCAGCTTACGGGGACTCCTCTAGGTTTACTGATATTTTCCTAGGTAAAACAGTAAGATGGACATGTTCAAATACAACTTTAAAGAATGTAATAGCACTTGGCAAACAAGGTCTTATTTTTAGAATCATTACTGCTGTTGTATCTAAGAACAGATTTGCTGTCATGGAGACTCTGATGGTTAATTTTGCTTCAACTTGGCTAGGCCGCAGTATCCACATATTTGGTTAACACTAGTCTGGATGTTGATGTGAAGGTGTTTCTTGTTTTGTTTTTGTTTTCAAATACCTGCCAGTTTCTTCAGTTCTCTTTGTGCTTTGAGACATGCCCATCCACATCTTTCCAATTTCAGGAAATGCTCCTTATACCATGAAGGTGTTTTTGTTTGTTTGTTTGTTTTTTTACAGGCCTCTCACTGTTGTGGCCTCCTCTCCCGTTGCGGAGCACAGGCTCCGGACGCGCAGGCTCAGCAGCCATGGCTCACAGGCACAGCTGCTCCGCGGCATGTGGGATCCTCCCGGACCGGGGCACGAACCCGTGTCCCCTGCATCGGCAGGCGGACTCTCAACCACTGCGCCACCAGAGAAGCCCATGAAGGTGTTTTTTAAAGAAGAGATTAACATTTAAATGAGTAGATTTTGAGTAAAGCAGCTTACTCTCAATAATGTTGGTGGGCTTCATCTAATCAGTTAGAGGCCTTAAGAGAAAAAAGACAGACTTCCCCTGAAGAAGAGGAAATTCTGCCAGTAGATTGCCTGTGGACTTGAGCTGCAACATCAGTTCTTCCCTGGGTCTCCAGCCAGCATGCTTACCCTGCAGATTTTGAATTTTCCAGCCTCTATAATCACATGAGCCAATTCCTTAAAATAAATCGTATGTATTTATTACTTTATGGTAAAATAAATCATATATATTTATGCCAAGTTCTTCTTCAAGGACCCACCAGCCAGACATGAGTTGGAGCTCTTGAAGCCAGTAGCTGTTCCTTCATGATACTTTGCCCACCTGGCTGGTGATATAGACATCAGTCACACTGGTACTAACTCCACTACCAGCCCACAGGCCCCCTCCCTGAACCTGTGGCAACCCTTGTTCTGGGACTCTTTGCAGTGCATGTTTCCTGAGAGAGCTCTGTGTTGGGCATTCCCCAGGCAGCCCCACAACTGTGCTTTTGGGAGGCAAGGTGCAGGCAGGGCTGGGCCCCATGTATATGTATATTTAAATTCTAAATGTTCTATTTCTCTGGAGAACCCTAATGCAGAGTCTTTACACATCTTCCTTTGGAAACTTGGAAGAGTCAATTTGTTGGGCTCCTTGGCCCGGTGTCTTGGGTCTTAGAAGTGCTGAGTCTTGCTGGCCCAGAAAAGGCATGTGAAATTCACCAAGGTGGCAGGACATGTGTTTCTCTGGGTCCTATCTTGGGAGAGTTACTGAAGGTAGACCTGATTTGGTTCAGAATTCCACTGGAAGCTCAGAATCATTGGGGATCCTAAAATAGGATCCATGTAAGACCCAAAAGAAGACTTTCCTTGAGGTCCCCAGGGAAGGAGGACTTCAGAACTTGAGAGAAGGAGGTCTCCAGGGAAGGAGAACTATCTTGGTACAAACTCTGGTTCTGGAATTTTACTCTCTGAACTAGCATATTTTGGCTGCTAAGGTCTGAAGGCAGAATCTTACCTGACTCTGGAATTTGTTCTTAACCCTTTTTTAGCTTTGTTTTTAACTTTTCAATGTTTAGACATGGGGTATTTACTTGTACTCTTGGTCATCTGTGTCAATCATTAAAACAGTAGAGGAATTTGTGACTCAAATAAAGCTTTAGGCTAGCTGATCACTCAGTTCCCTGCCAACTCTGATTCTACATGTAGCGGTTAGAGGCAGAAGAATATGGTCAGACTCCTCTAGAGAGCCCAAGAAAAACAAAGAGGAACAACCTCAAGCCACTAGGGCAAGGATGGTTTGACCTTAGTCCAAGTTTCTTTTGGTTAGACCTTCTACTTGGACACTGCTTTTCTGCAAAGTTTTATAACCACTAAGGCCTGAGACACACTTCATACCATGACAGATGTGGTCGCTAAATGAGATCTGAGCCCTCACCAACTTTGCTTGGTTTCCAGCTCAATAATTTGAGAAATATGGATGCATCTTGAGAATTAAATTCACAGACCCCAGTGAGGTTTGTTTATCTTTGAGGTACACAGATAAAAGAAAATCAGAATGAGCTATGGTATGATAGTGGGGTATAGTCTAAAGGATAAACAACATAAGGGTTGAGAAAATAGTGGGTTTGTTTCCTGAAAAGAATTATAGTATGTCCATAAAGAATGTACTAATTATGTTTCTAGGACACCCACTTTGGCTTTTTGGACATTTTAAGCAGCTTCTCAAAATTCCCTACTACATAAATTCTCCAAAAGAGAACAAACAAACAAACTAGAATTTGAAATGAAGTTCTCCTGTACCCAGTGTCCCCTAGATGGGAAGCAGTCAGTGTAGTGGGACATCTCTGGCTATGCCATACATTAAGGATGCAAATAGGTCTTCCACTTCAGATGATAATACACGAAAGATTATGTGGCCTTGAATTCAGATGGGTTATCTAACCTGGATTTGACAGATTCTCTTGCAGAAGAATGAGTTGAAATTCTACATCCCTGAAGTTAAAAAGATTTTTTATTATGAACTAGGATGGACATGAACATTGAAAGGTACATTGGAAGGGAAAAGCAACAAGCTCTGTAAAATAAAACTAACTTTAAGGAAAGAAAGCATCTAGTCTAGTGACCAAAGTTCAAGATGTATAGGAAGGATGTGGCACAGCATGTTGCTGATGCCAGAATTTCCTCAGGATTCAGCTAGTCTGGACTGGTGTCAGCTTTGTGGAATATGACATAAGAGCTACAACATTGGAGCCTTACTATTGGGTACCACTGTAGCACTAGCAAAGCTCCAGCTAGCAAGGGCATTACTACAAAGAGATGTTAGACTCTGTAGACCCACCTTCAACAGTGAAAGTGTATGATATTGAAAAAACCTGGCTGTAGTTGTCCAATGAGACTCTTACCTGAGAGGTAGAAGCAAGACTAACCCACTTGGGCTAAAGTCAATCCCTAGAGTTCTTGCATAACGGAGTTAAGTAGGAGACTTGAGAGTTGATGCTAATGGGAGAAAATGGACTCAGTAACCAAGAGCCCATATTGGGGGAGAGGGTAAAACAAGAAACAAAAGAAAACAAACAAAACTATGTGACCATATATTGTGAATGTATTTGTACTGAGTTTAGAAAGTAGATTACATCATTTATTTAATATATAGCCTCCAAGGGACTTCCCTGGCAGTCCAGTGGTTAAGACTCCACGCTCCCAATGCAGGGGGTACGGGTTCGATCCCTGGTTGGGGAACTAAGATCCCACATTCTGCATGGTGCAGCAAAAAGAAAAGGGGGGGGGCGACCATATCTCCATTTGCAAGGCCACTACGCTTCTTTCTGATACTTTACAGAAGAGAAACACAAACAAACACACAGTTGATTTCTTTACTTCTTTTCAAGCAAGACTGACTTCCCAAAGCCCATTTCTATGAGTCAGCTTGTACTAACAGGAGCCACACTTTCCATCAAAGGCTTTCACACAAGAGCTCAATCTCAGAGATGAACATCACTGTATAAAATGAGAAAAAAATCTCCAAATAAAAATAAGGCACAATAGCTCATCAGAGAAGGAATAAAGGCCTAATGATCTATAAAACTCGGTTTGTTGTGTACTTACTAACTTAAATAATCTATTACCAGCCTATATTCTCCCCTAAGAGACATTCCTAATAAAGTGGACAAAATTCACTATCCTTTCTACTCATTCTGAATCAATTCTTATAACTCAGTCAGCTAAACAGTGTTATTATTAGTGTGTCTATAAAATTTGAGAAGACACGGTCCCCAGGAGTCCAGATATTCTGAGCCTATTCTTAATGCTGGGATCCCTCTACCAGGGGAATCATGGTCCTAAATATAATGGACTATGAGATAAGATTTTGGAAAGACACAATATAAATGCTAGAAAATGTGGGAAATGAATTTTGGTCAAGGGATCAAAGTTGTTCTTCAGCCTAATTTGAAGAGTAAAGAATTAAAAGGTGGGAATTGGGAATTCCCTGGCGGTCCAGTGGTTAGGACTCAGTGCTTTCACTGCCGAGGGCCCGGGTTCAATCCCTGGTTGGGAACTAAGGAGTTCTAAAGGGTTAAACATTCTCAGAATGATTCACTTCTAGTACTCAATGACTCAGTGATTCACTTCTAGTACTAAAAAATGGTAAAGAGCAGAAACTATGCTAATTCTAAGTAACAATGGAATAAAAAGTCCACATTAAGCACTTTCTATGTGTTGGGCATTGTGCTTAGGTTACAAATATATGTATATATTTAAATATGTATGTACATATGTATGTATGTATTATGTATATGTAATTGTCCCAAATTAATAAGCAGCAAAAGTAGCTCACACCCTTAATCAATAAACAACCCTTGGGTTTTGCCTTTTTACATATGGTCCCTAGAAAAAGGAAGAGGTCTTTTGCCTCCCCCA